GGGACATTTCACTGCAGAAACAGTACTTGTATAGCTGAAGTGCGATTTGATGTTACTTCTGTACTTTTACTTAAGTAAATGCATAATGCAGGATTTTAACTTAAAGTATTTCTACATTGTGGTTTACTATTACTTATGGGTGTGAATATTTACATTTCTTTTCCTCTGACGTTATTAAAACCCAACATGTATTGAGTATTAACTCTGAGTTTGTACATTTGATGAAAGCGACACGATGGCCATAAAGCATTGCTATAACACGAAATAAGGAAATATAGCACTTTCATGAAGTGGGCCATGCATTAACCAATATATATTTCTTTTGTTTGTTTGTGCTCTTGTGAACAATCTCCAGCATCAGAAATAGAAAATGTACTTATTTGGGATCTAGGAGGAGTATCGAGCTGATAAATGAACGTTTTTTGATCCCAAACGGAACAGTAGGGTTCATTCATTTAGAATTGTGGCTGATTTATATCATTTGAATATGTCAATTATGTGTTTCCTTTGCAATGACTGTACAGTCTGCAAAATTAACGAGATCTAGATCAACCCGTCACTTCCTATCACCTCCCCCAGATGAGGTGAGAGGGAGGCGGGGGGGGTCATAAGAGAGAGAGAGACCAGCTCCATATTCAGCATCCGGAGAAGCTGATCCGGGATCACGTGGCCGAGTGATTCAGCCGGACGGTGTCAGAGCAAATCAGAGCGCAGGGGAGCATTCAGCATGGAGCCACCTGACAGAGGAGGCCTGTTTCCATAGCAACGCCCATGATGGGAGGGGGATGGGGGGGGGTGTAGAGCGACTGCATGCAGACCGAGGAAAGGACGGAAGAGAGAAAGGGAACAGAGGCATTTCCAAAGGGGATTATGACAGAATGATTTATCCAAATTAAAATGAATGACACCTCTCAAACACACACATATATACACACACACACACACACATATATACACACACACACACACACACACACACACACACACACACACACACTGTATCCATGCAACAGTCCTCGGTAGTTTATGGTCTGAGCTACTTAGCGACACAAAGGAGAACAATCCTGAATGGTGTGTTGGTTCTGTGAATGCAGTAAATGAGATTTTCACAGCCACAGATAAGTGAATGAAGAGGACGCCTCTGAATGGGAGGGATGTCTGGGAGAAAAAAAATATGACTTGATAACTAAAGCAGGATTCATATGAAGCGTTACATAACTCCTCTCTCACGAAGACTTATCTGCAGCTCCGCTTAAAACTGCTGAAACT